GAGGAGGATGCTGCGACATGCAGAGGCCTCGGCGATTGTAGAGTATGCCTACAACGACAAAGCCATCCTGGAGCAGAGGACCCTGCTGATAGAGGAGCTCTATGGGAACACATTTCAGCTCTACAAGTCAGCAGATCACCCAACCCTGGACAAAGTACTAGAGGCACAGCCGGCGAAACTGGAGCTGATTATGGATGAAATGAAACAGATTTTGATGCCAATGGCTCAAAAGTAAGAGGCATGGTTTTGTTTTTTCTTAACAGATGGGATTTGAGGAAGGAAAGTTTTCCATGCCTTCGCATAAAGAAGGTGGCTGTTTCTTCCAGACTGTAACTAACCTGGGCTAAGGAAGAGTCTATGTATAAATTTTGGTTTGAAGCCATTATTTGTAAATAGCTGGATCTTCCTCTTACAATGTATCCTGCAAAGTGATGCCATACTGTAGTGACTTGTAAACCTTTTTTTAACCAATGAAACATGTTTTCTTAAAATATTATCTTGAAAACCCACCACCCACCCCACCCCTACCCCCTATATTTTAAGTAGTTTCACAAATACAGCCTGTTGTGTAGGTTAATTTGTAAGGCCTGGAAGCCCAAGTGCATGCCCTTGGCATATGTAGCATAGTGGAGTGGTTAGGAACACGCTAGGACAGGGTGTCGGGTGTGAATCCTAGTGCCTCTACCTGCTGTCCCTGTGACCTTTGGCACCGTAACCTCTGTGCCTCAGTTTCCTTATCTAGAAAATTAAGATAGTAGTTGTAGATACTGCATACAATTTTGAGAAGGTTAAATGGGTTAATATTTCTAACACCCTCAGCAGTGCTTTGCCCATGATAAAGGCACTTAAGTTTTGGCTGTCTCCTTGGATGCTCCATGTGACCTTAGAGGTCTGTGATGCACCACCATTAGCCTCCAGTCCACACCTGAATCTACCAGGTGTCACGTGAGAGGGCTTGGGCCCATGAGGGGTCATAGTGATTGCTGGTATCATTTGAGTCTGTGTAAGTTTTAATTGTGCATTCTGAAAGACGTCTGACAGAAAGAATCTCTTAAAGAAACAGACTCACAGGTGTGGGTTTCTTATGTGATTCACTGTTGGGGATTATTATTTAAAAGGGTGGAGTCCCTGGGTGCAAACAGTGAATGCATTTGGTGCTCACTCACAGGTTGAAGGTTCAAGACCACCCAGAGGTGTGTTGGCCAGAAAGCCTGGTAGTCTGCTTCTGAACATGTAGTCATTGAAAACCCTGTGGAGCAATCTGTTCTGAGACATGGGATTGCCATGAGTAAAACATTTAAAAGGTAGAGCATACTCTGAATAATGTCATCTCTTGATTGGATATGAGGGATCTGCTACTCTGGTCTCGGCTGTAGGTGCACAAAATCAATCTCACAATCTAAAAATAAAGAAAATTGTAGCACTGCTGAAAGATACAATCCATCTTACTGCAAATTACACTTGGTAAAACCATTTTCCATATTTTGATGATTTCAGAAGACCACGAAGTTTACCTCTCTCTCAGTTACTCCAGAGCTGATGTTTGCCTGTTTTGTCTGTTTTCAGGGAGGCTGTGATTAAGCACTCATTGGTGCACAAAGTGTTCTTGGACTTTTTTACCTATGCACCCCCAAAACTAAGATCGGTGAGTACTCGGTGTTGACATTGGAACCAAAGCATGGAGGGTGAGCTGTGTTGCAACATGAAATGCTACTTTGCTGTATGTCGCCTTTTGAAATTTTTACAAGGCTGTTTCCTCATTTAGAGAAGTTCATAAATAAACTTCCTTTGAACAGATCTGCTAATTCTGTTTAGGTTTTCACAGAAGACTATGAAATTGGCTTTAGTTTTTATTAATTGGATTTTGATCCACTTGTTTTTACTCTGCTGGATTAAAATTAGGAGCTCTGGGAGTGCCAATGGTTGCAGTGCTCAGCCGCAAACCAAAGGTCAGCGTTTCAAACCCGTCAGCCTCTCCATGAGAGAAAAAAGCTTGATAACCTGTGGGCCATTTCTACTGTGTCATATAGAGTTGCCGTGAGTCCCAGTTGACTTTCCAGCAAGCGGGTTTTTTGGGTTTTGGATTAAAATTAATCAATTAGATTTTTCCATTTTTATTATAATCTATGGACATCCTGTAAATAGTCTAAAAATTAGCTAACAGACTAATATTCAGCATTCAGATAGTTTTAAATTCAATTATGTAGACTTCTACAAAAAAAGTCAGGTTGATGTTAAAAAGGGAGGATATTTATTTAAAAATAAATGAACATCAAATGATGGAAGGATAAGGGGCCGAGAGTGAAGGTAAACCCTTCACCCCTGAAGCCGCTAAGGGGGCTGTGAATGCAGATTCAGCATGTGGCCTCCAGAGCTTTGCTTGTCTGTCCTGCACTGAGCTCATTGTTCATGCGGCCTGCCTTTCTGATCACAAGTGGCGGGTACAAGAAAACCAACCCCTCTCTCACAGATAGGCCAGATGTACATAGTCACAGGAATTTTGACCCTCTCAAAATTGACTTACAAAAAGATTCTCCAGGATGGCCGTCCGGAGCTCCTGGTTATCTGGCCACAGCTGCTGCCACTGCTCTTTTCGGGAATTTTCTCCCTTTCCTGTGGAGGGCAGTGTCTCACAGTTCTGGATTCACCACAGAGAAACTGTGTTCAATGCTGACAGTGGGATACTTTCAGTACTTACTGGCAAGTGCCTTTTCAGTGTGAATGGATTTTAGTTAATGACCGAAAACAACTTTAGCACAATAGAACGAAACACTTGCCCAGTCCTGTGCCATCCTTGTAGTCATCGCTGTTTGAGCCCATTGTTGCAGCCACTCTGTCAGTGCGTCTGGTTGAGGGTCTTCCTCTTTTTCACTGAACTTCTACCAATCGTGGTGTCCTTGTCCTGGGACTGGTCTCTTCTGGTAACATGTCCAAATTACGTGAGACAAAGTCTTGTCGTCCTTGCTTCTAAAGAGCATCTGGCTGTACTTCATCCAAGGCAGATTTGTTTGTTTTGTTGGTAGTCCATGGTATCTTCAGTATTCTGTACTAATACCATAATTCAACAGCATCCGTTCTTCTTCAGTCTTCCTATTCTGTCCAGCTTTCACATGAATGAGACAATTGAAAATACCATGGCTTGGGTCAGATGCACATTAGTCCTCAAAGGGACATATTGCTTTTTAATACTGTAAAGAGGTCTTCGCAACAGATTTGCCCCATGCAATGCACTGATTGATTTCTTGACTGCTGCTTCTATGGGTGTCATTTCATTAAAATGAAATCCTTCACAACTTCAGTCTTTCCCCCATTTATTGTGATATTGTGAGGATTTTTATTTTCTTTATGTTGAGATGTAATCCATACTGTCTTTGATCTTCATCAGTAAGTGCTTCAAGTCCTCTTCACTTTCAGCAACAAGGTTGTGTCATCTGCATATCACAGGTTGTTATTGAGTCTTCCTTCGATTGTGATGCCATATTCTTCTTCATATAGTCCAGTTCCTTGGATTATTTACTCAGCATATAGAATGAATAAGTATGGTGAAAGGATATAACTGCGACATACATCTTTTCTGATTTAAAACCACACAGTATCCTCTTGTTCTGTTCAGATGGCTGCTTCTTGATCTGTGTACAAGTTCCACCTAAGCACAATTAAGTGTTCTGCAATTCCCATTCTTGACAGTGTTACCCACAATTTATCATCATCCACACAGTTGAATGCCTTAGTACAGCCAATAAAACACAAGTAAACATTATCTAGTACTCTCTCCTTTCAGCCAACTTTCATCTGACACCAGCCCTGATAGCCCTCATTCCGTGTCCTCTTCTCAATGCAGCTTGACTTTCTCACAGTTCCCTGTCAGTGTATTCCTGCAACCAGTTTTGAATTATCTCCAGCAAAATTTTACTTTCATGTGATATTAATGATGTTATTCAATAATTTCTTCATTCTGTTGGATCACCTTTCTTTGAAATGAGCACTGATATGGATCTCTTCCAATCTGTTCGCCAGGTAGCTTGGCCTAGACAAGTAATTGTTTCCAGCATTGCATCCATTTGTTGAAGCATCTCAATTGGTATTCTGTCAGTTCCTGGAACCTTGTTTTTCACAAGTGTCTTCAGTGTATCTTGGACTTCTTTCATTACTGTCAGTTTTTGATTATATGTTACCTACTAGAATGGTTGAACATTGACCAACTTTTTTTGATATATTGGCTCTGTGTATTCCTCCAGTCCAAATGCCTCCTGCATCGTTCGCTCTTTTGCCCAAAGAATCCTTTAATATTGCAACTAGAAGTTTGAGTTTTTTCTTCAGTTCTTTGAGCTTGAGAAATGCTGAATACGGTCTCTTTTGATTTTCTAACTCCACTTCTTGGCGCATTTTGTTATCATGTGTTACTTTGTCTTCCTGAGCCATCCTTTGAAATCTTTTGCTCATCTCTTTTACTTCATCATTTCTTCCATTCACTTTAGCTAGCTACTCTCCATTCAAGAGCAAGTTTCAGAGGCTCTTCTGTCCAATTTGGTCTTTTCTTTCCTGTCTTTTTAATAACCTTTGCCTTTCTTCATGTCCTTGATGGCATCTCACAACTCATCTTGTCTTTAGTCATTAGTGTTCGGTACATCATATCTATTCTTTAGATGGTCTTTAATTCAGGTAGGGTATACTCAGGATCACACTTTGGCTCTCATGGACTTGTTTAAATTTTCTTCAGCTTCAACTTGAACTTATCAATGAAACTGATGGGCTCTTCCAAAATCTGTCTCTGGCCTTGTTTTGACTGACGATATCGGCTTTCTCCATCATCTCTTTCCACTGATGTAGTTGATTTGATTCCTGTGTATTCTGTCTGTCAAGATCCGTGTGTGTAGTTGCTATTTATGTTGTCTGAAAAAACGTATTTCTAATGATTAGGTCACATTGATCTTGCAAAATTCTATCATGATCTTTAGCATCATTCTTTCACCAAGACCATATTTTCCAACTCCCAATCTTTCTTCATTTCGAACTTTACATTCCAATCACTACTAATTATCAGTGTATCTTGATTGCATGTTTGGTCAAGTTCAGACTATAAAAGTTGGTAAAGATCTTCAATTTCTTTGTCTTTGGCATTAGTGGTTGGTGTGTAAATTTGATTAATAGTTGTATTAGCTAGTCTTTCTTGTAGGTGTATGGATATTATCCTATCACTGAAACCATTGTACTTCAGGATAACAACCAAAAGAAAAGGCACTGCCGTGGAGTTGATTCTGACTCATAGCAGCTCCCATTGGGTTTCTGAGGTGGTAAATCTTTACGGAAAATAGATTGCCTTGTCCTCCTTCTGTGGAGTGGTTGGTGGGTTTGAACTGCCAGCCTTCTGGTTAGCTGTCACATGCCTTAGGCACTGTACCACTAGAGCTTCTTGTACTTCAGGATAGATCTTGAAGTATTTTTGATGATGGATACAACACCATTCCTCTTTAATTGGTCATTCCTGGCATAGTAGACAATATGATTGTCAGATTCAAAATGACCAGTACTAGCCCATTTCAGCTCAACTAATGATGAGGATATCGATCTTTATGTGTTCCATTTCATTTTTGACAACCTCCAGTTTTTCTGGATCCATACTTTCTACATTCCATGCTCTAATTAGTAAGGGATGTATGAAGCTGTTTCTTCTCCTTTTGAGTCATGCCACATGAGCACAGGAGGGTCCCGAAAACTTCACTCCATCCGCTTCCTAAAGGTCTACTCCACTTTGAGGAGGCAGCTCTTGCCCAGTCTTACTTTGAGTGCCTTCCAGCCTGAGGGCCTCTTCTTCCTACACTGGATCAGATAGTGTTCCACTACTATTGATAAGGTTTTCACCGGGCAGTTTTTTCAGTAACAGACTATCAGGTCCTTCTTGCTTGTCTGTCTTAGTCTGGAAGTTCCACTGAACCTGTCCACCATGTGTGATCCACTGGTATTTGAAATACCGATGGCATAGCTTCGAACATCACAGCAACTCACAAGCTACCCACCACAGTACTATGAGCTGGAAGACAAGTGGAGTTTTTGTTTTTTAATAAAAATTGATAAAATGAAAATGCTGTATTTATAGAAATTGCCTGCTCTGATGGAATGGAATGTTTCTAGAAAGAGGTTGTGTTCCTGTGTGATTTTCTATAAAATTAATAACTTATTTGTTTGTACCTTTGCTCTGTTCCTTTCATTCTTTTTGCATAGCCCCTCCATCCCATTGGATTGATAGATAATAATAAGTGGAAAGAAAAAACCAAATACAAAATCACTGACAGCCTTTATTCCCTAGGAAATGATCGAAGCCATCCGTGAAGCAGTGGTGTACCTTGCACATACCCATGATGGCGCCAGAGTGGCCATGCACTGCCTCTGGCATGGCACCCCCAAGGTACGTGAGCTAGGCCACCTGCAGGGGGCTGGTGGGTTGGGCAGGGCTGTACCTTTGACTTCCCTCTCCTTCCCTCTCAGGATCTTTGTCCCCTTGTATATAAACAACCTTATCTCCATGAAGCTGGGCCTCAGGGCCTCCCAGGAATCGGCTCTCCTCTTCAGGCCTAAGGTTCCTCTCTGCTTTAGTGGAAATGCTGAGCTTTCCTTAGAAGTATGGTAAGGGATCTATCAAGCAAGTAAACAGTATGTGTGTTACTTAGGAGCTCTGGTAGCATAGTGGATAAGGCATTTGATTGCTGCCTAGAAGGTCAGTGGTTCAAATCCATGAGCCACTCCACAGAGGGAAGGTGAGGCAATCTATTTCCATAAAGATTTCAACTCAGTGGCAGTGAGTTTGGTTTTGGTTTTTTTGAGAGGTTTTGGTACATGTCGGGTTTATTAAATCCTTACCTTCTGTGTGAGGAGACCCAGGTTTGGTTGTCAGCCAATGCACCTCAAGCGCAGCCCCACCTCATCTGCCAGTGGAGGCTGTGTGTTGCTAGGATGCTGAACAGGTTTCAGTGGAGCTTTCAGACTAAGGCACATGAGGAAGAGAGTCCTGGAGATCTACTTCTGAAAATCATCCAGTGGAAACCCTATGGACCACAGTGGCCCTATGCCAACCTGTCGTGGTGATAGGACTGGGCAACATTTCATTCCATTGTGCATGGATTCTCATGGGACGACTCGAATGACAGCGATCCTGTTGGGGGATGATGAGGAAGGAGAAGACAAAACCCGAAAAGCAAACCCATTGCCTTGGAGTTGATTCCAATTCATGGCAACCTCGGAGGACAGAGAATTGCCCATAGGGTCCAAGGCTACAAATCTTTATGGAAGTAGACTGCCCTCTCTCCTGTGGAGTGGAGCAGCTGATGAGTTCGAACCTCCCATCTTCAGGTGAGCAGCCAAATGTTTTAACCATTGTGCCACCAGGACTCCTAGAGACTAATAACAGCTATAGATGTGCTAAAGTGGGTGTTTAGTACTCTGAGGAAAATAGTAAAGATCCATATTAATCACAGAAGTTTAACTTTTCTGCTGTGTGTAATTCTGCCTTCAGAAGACATTTGTCATCTTTTTTTAAAACTAATGCATATTTAATTTTCAACAAGAATATATTGAATAACTCCCAAGACCATTGCCTTCAGACAGCCTTCTAAGTTGAAACTGAACATATTCCCAGTGGCCATCTTCCAGCCAGATAATAGATGAGACTACAAAACAAATAGCATCATCCATGAAGCATGAGCTCCTCAGAACACTCAACTGTACAAAACCAAAAGGGCAACATTTGCCCAAAACAAAAGAGGAGAAGACATGGAGAGATAGGACAGCTAGGCGAACGGAAGTGGGGGACCCAGGGAGGAAACAAGGAGAATGCTGACACATTGTGGGGATTGCAACTGTTCTGGTTACCTAGTGCCACTCTGACAGGACTGTACCACAAATGCGATGTCCTCAACAAACAGGAGTTTATTCTTACAATTTGAAGGCTTTAAGTCCAAGCTCAAAGTGCCAGGCTCTAGGGGCTGGGTGAAAGCCCCTCAACCTTGGGGTCCAGCTCTGCCTCCTGCTCCTGGCCCACTGAAACTGGAGGCTTTTCATCACTCAGCTGCTGGCTGCTGAGGCTGAGAAGTCCCAAGCTTGACAAGTAAAAAGGCACAGTCCTGATGTTACCAAACCACATGGCAGGCCATTAATTCAAGTCCATTGAAAGTCCCAAGGTTGGCAGAGCGTGGCAGGCTGCTGAATAACGACACGGCTACATGCAAGGTTCAAACCATAAGCTGGAGACCATTTCCCAAGGCTTCCCCTTAAATACAGGAAGCAGACCACATCCCTAAGGCAGCTACTCAGTTGCTCACAGTAGATTTCACCAAGGAGTTGATTACCAGTCTCATCATGGGAAGTAACTCCATCCAGCTGCCCAGCCACTCAACTAGACCCAGCCACGTTGACAGATAACCTTAACCACCATAGCAACAAATGTCACAGGACAATCTGTGTATGCACTATTGATTGGAAAACTAATTCGCTGTGTCAACTTTCACCTAAAACACAATAAAATGTTAAAAAAAGAAAGTATCGAATGCCTTCTGCGAGCTAGATCCTGGTGTGTTTGAAGAGAGGTCAGATGTTGGAAGAGGGCTCTCAGCTCACTGCAGAGGCGGCTTCACTAGGTTTTCCTGCTGCTTGCAGATTTCACACTTCCATATTTATGTCTGAGAGTAGATTTTCACGGACAAGACTAAATGATGAAAGCTTTGGCAGGGCACTTACACATAATGTCATTTTTAAAATTTCAACTGTGTAACTCTTTTTTTCATGAACCAAACTATGCCGTCAGATAAAAATCTAATAATATGTTTACAGTTTAACGAAATACCCTTAGTCCACATGAAAAGCTTATCAGGCGTTTTTTCTTTCTTTTAAGGATAGGAAGGTGATTGTGAAAACTATGAAAACTTACGTTGAAAAAGTGGCTAATGTAAGTATAATAAAAGTACACATTTCAAGTCATAGCAAGTCATGTCTATTATAGAAACTAAAAACTCAGAAAATGACCAAGAAGCAGTTCTTTGCTCTTTACTTCGCCAGTCTTTTTATATGCACGTGTGTGTGCTTTTACGTATTGTTAAAAGTGGTGCAGCACAGTAATCATACTGTGTCTACTCTTCTCTCCTTTTTTCATTAAATGTTGACAATTTTTTCATTGTTTTGTTGTTGTTATGTGCCATCGAGTCGACCCCAACTCATGGCAACCCCTCCTTGGGTTTCTGAGGCAGTATCACTATGGAAGTAAATAGTAAATATCTGTAAATATCTGCTATTCAAAGACTAACTCCTTTAATGAATTTAGGGAGTTCTGGTGGTGTAGCACCTAAGGCACCTGACTGCTAACCAGAAGGCTGGCGGTTCATACCCACCAGCCACTCCCTGTAAAGAAGATTGGGCAATCTACTTCCGTAGTGATACCACCTCGGAAACCCAAGGAGGGGTCGCTGTGAGTCAGGTCTGACTCCGCAGCAGTGAGTTTGCTTAGTTTGGTTTAATGAACTTGTTCAGTCATGTTATTCAACATGAAATTATTTCTCTTTTATCATTTTAATGCTATAGTGTACAGCTCTGAATGTCATTTTTGTGTATCTCTGATTATTTATAGACTGATTTCCTAGAATTAGAAAGTCTTTGCTAAGGTATATACATGTTACGCTCTAGGTAAATAATGCCAAATTACACTTCAGCCCCAGGGTTACAGGTGAGGAGAGACAACTCAGGGACGCCCAAAGTAGCAGGCGGGGAAAGCAGGAGAAAGGGGATTAAAAGCCAGGAAGCCAGAGAGAAGAGCAATCAGCCAAAGGGATTAGGTGAGGAGACAAACTCAGGCCCACCCAGAGTAGCAGGCTGGAAGAGC